AGCGATATAAAAGAACAAAAATTAAAAATAAAAGAAAGAAGAGAGACAATACAGGAATTATGGAAAAATAGGAAAGCCAAAGTAGAATTAAGATTCTAATGCAGATTAATATTGACCATCACAGAAAGTATATACATATAAAAGAGTACATTTTATCCCCAAGTTTGTTGTTTTGATCTAATTATAAACAATGTTATAAAAAGATAATTTCTAAACATGTCCAAATTTGTTCTGTAATGCATCAGACTTTTTTATTCAATAAAAGTTGGTTGTAATTATTATTTGAATTTTGTCATTTCAAGATCATCTAATGTACCATAATTTCATTTCCTCATATTGGCATTATTTCAGGACAGTATTTTCAAAACCGGCTTATTGTTTACAAGACATAGGAATACTTTTTATAAGTATAAATCCCTACATCAAAATAATCGTAAAGTGTTTGTTAAAAATAAGAATTATCGGGCTGGGAAGGTGGCTCAGTGGTAGAGTGTTTGCCTTGCATGCCAGAGACCCTGGGTTCGATTCCTCAGCACCATATAAGCAAAAAGAAAAAAGCGGGAAGTGGCGCTGCGGCTCAAGTGGTAGAGTGCTAGCTTTGAGCTGAAGAGCTGAGGGACAGGGCTCGGGCCCAGAGTTCAGGCCCCACAACCGGATCCAAAAAAAAAAAAGAATTATCTAAATTCCCCCCAAAATACTAAAATATTTCTATCAAAGTGACATTAAATTAACTTTTCAATTGAGTTTCAATCACATTTTTATTGCTTAAATGAAACTGAAGTTTGTGAAAAACTGCTTGGCACTAGGCACAACATGACATGTCTTTAACTTTAATCACAGTTGACAAATTAAATGTATAATAGTAAAATTAGCATAAATGGATTATATTGTAAATACTGCAATTGCATCCTTCAAAGGCACAACTGAAAGTTAAGGGAAAGAATGCCACATAAGAACGGAAAATCTTTCTGTTTACTTATTTCCAAATGTGGTTAGTCACTAGTTCCTTCAATTAGAGAAAATGTTAATAGTTTCCAGGGAAAGTCTTATTTAAAAAGCACTGGCATTTTTTTTCAAATAAAATGATCTCTCACGTTAGGAAGAACTGTGGCCTTACCATTTAGTAATTTGGTAAAGACTGAAAAGACCTCTGTGTGATCTCAGCTGGCTAGATTTTTCACAACCAGAGGAAGCATTGTATTATTTCGGGGAACTGTCTCATTCTCTGTTAAGAAGAATAAGGTCAAAGAGAAGCAGCTGAAATAGTCAGGGACATTTTCACCTGTGTTTTCATACTCACATCTAGCCTTATTTCTCAATAAATGTTTCCAATTCATGAATATAATTATGTTCACATAGATCTTTTAAATTGCTATAATTCATAAAAGAAACTCACCAAAGCATTATTTCTTCACTATTTAAAACTGTATATGTCTTTAAAATAGATCGTTAGTTTTTTTTTTTCATTGATACATTTACCTAGAAAGCTGGAAAAAGGAGCAGGTATAATCTGAACATTGTACTTTCAACAATTTATTTAAATGAAGACCTTAGCATGTCAAAATGGAAGAGGAAACTCTAAATTAAAAATGACATAGAGGAAACAGGTTATCAGGCATTTAAAGGGTTTTGTCCAATTATAGTATTTCACAGAAAACATCAGTGGTACTCAGACATTCAGAACTTTCACACCCAATCTTGACAAAGAAGTTCAATAATTTCCATGGAAAATAATAAACAAGAAGAAGCCAGGATCCTCAAAATTCTCAGAAAGAAACAAAATACTAGAAAATATAAAAGCATGAAGTAACTCATCTATCCAGTTCTTGAAACAAACACTACTTTTACAGATAGATCAAATAAAATATTAAATGAAAAATAGTATAGACCTGATCGCAAAATTCAAGAATTCCCCAAATCCAAAAGTTAAGAATCTCTGTACATGTGGAGGACAAGTTGAAAAGGATACAAGCTATATATTTATGATCATATAAAATAATGTTAAGCAAAGTGAAACCAATATAGGGACACAAATATCTTTTTTCTTGCTTGTTATTTTTCTAATGTATTTATAATGTACCATGTGATTTTTTTTTGTTTCTTTGTGTATTCCTCTTGCAGAGTATAACCCCAGTTTTCATTGTATTTGATGACAGTGCCCTGCATCTTGTATATATACTTCTCTAATTCCGGGAAGGGTAAGGAAAAAACAAAATGCTTAAATAAGATACAGGTTATCCCATTGTTACAATGAGATGTACAAAACACTATGTTGAAAATGAACTTTACAACTTCGGGGGTGGTGGGAGAGGGAGTTGTAGTCGTGGAGGTGGGAGGGAAGAGATGGATGGAAGAAAACAATGGAGGAGACTACAATGCTCAATAGGAAATGTACTCATTACCTTGATCGTGTAACTGTAAACCCTCTGTACAGCATTTTTAAATAAAAAATGTATAAAAAAAGAATCTCTAGGTCCTCTAGATTTCTAGCCCTCAAGGAAAACTTCCAGGAACAAAGCAACTTTACATAATAGTACACTCAAAACTGAACCTTTATCTCATTGTCAGTAACTAGGATAAGGCAAGACATTCAGTTTAAATCTAAAAAGTATAAGACATACTAACCAACAATTATTATGAGATTCTGCTGGCACAAACCAGTCAACAGAAAACCATTTCAGCACCTGTAACGTCAGAAACTTCAACAATTTGAAAGCCAAGTTTGTAGTTGAAATACTTCATGATCAAGAGATAGAACAGAAAATAGTAAAATATATGAAGTTTCAAGTAAACATAGGAAAGAATAAAATAAAAAGTACATGCAAACAGGGTCATTAAATTCAGATATTAACATAAAATTAAGAGTCTTATTTAGTCATGAAAAATAATTATGTTGACTGTCAAAGAAAATTTGTGGAGATCATCAGCAGGGTTAGTAAAACAAACCAGAATGAGAAAGACAAATATTAATTCTTCTCTATCATATGCGGAGCCAAGATTTTAAAAAATCAATTGCTGACATGTGAATAAAATTAAGATCATTGATCGAGTTGAAATCAGTGGATGAAGGAAGCCAAGGAAGAGAGCAATAAAGTGTGACTGTAGCTCTAGTATTTTATATTTCCTTATGAAATTAAAATAATACCTATTAATATTGTTTAAAAGATAAGGAAGAGAATATGAAAGGGAAATGGAGAGGAGAATTTATCAGAGTATATTATATATGTGTATATGAAAATATAATAAATCTCTTGTTACATTTATTTTTTCATGCAAAAGAGCACTATAGCACCAAGAAAAGAAAGAAGGTATCTACTTCAGCACCCAGAGAATATGTACTTCATGCTACCTCTACACTCATGAAGACCCAGCACAATGGGGGACAGAGAAAATGGAAATGCTAAATTAAACATAAATTTTGTGCTATAATTATTCAATAACAATATTTATATCTAATGTGATGACTTAGTTATATGACCATATCTAAAAATAAAGTACTTTTTAATTTATTTGTTAATTATCTCTGAAAATAGAGTCAACCCCAACACAGCAAAATAAGCATTTATTCAAACATTTGTCCTAAATTAAAATGAGAAGTCCTCAGCTACAGGACTTTGAGAATTTTGCTTTTGCTATCAACTTTAAGAGCTGTTGGTTTGAGACCATGCATCATTTTACTTATGAAAATATCTTTGATGATATTCTGGATTCCTCAAGCAAATTTTCTCCAAAAGTAAAACTTTGAGGGCTTTATTAAGCTATACATGTGTATATATATATATATATATATATATATATATATATGTATATGTATGTATATGTATGTATATGTGTATGTGTGTATGTATATAAATATATGTATATGTATATATATTAAAAAATGGAGACTCAGCATGTAGGTTATTTTTAGCTATCTTCCTCAACACACACAAGTCCACAGATTCAATCCCCAACATCTCAGAAAACATAAGAGATCAAAAATAAATAACAGAAATCTTTACACTCTGTAATAAACATATCCTTAAGGAGAACAAGGCATCGAGTATGTCTTCACAAGCCTAATGCAATGAATGAAAAAGAAATATAAAACACAGATCTAATAACTACAATGTGAATTATTCACATGGATATATTATTGACTTACTTTGAACTCCATGGGAGCGTACTATTTTCCAAGTTTCTGATGCCACTTCCTTGACATCTACTTGATAGTGATGAATCGGCACACCGCCATGGGACTCTGGTTTGTTGAAAGAAATCTTGGCCGTGGTCTGTGACAGCTCTATTATCTTCACGCCATGGGGACTGGATGGGACATCTACAAAGTAAAAAGCATACGGAAAATATACAACAGGCAATGCAGATCACCATTTTTTAAGACTTGTGGCTTTAGGAAAATTAGAAAGGAAAGAAAACTGTTGGGCTTGCTTTCAGACCTGAATTAATGCTTCAAAATTCAAGAATAAATGTACCTTTCTATTAGCACATCCAGTAATAATAAATTGCAAATGGAACTCTCAATATTAATTTATAGAGGAAATATTTTGCTTTCCTGTTTTCTATACAATAGAAATATTGAGGTCAAGGAAAACAAGCCTGTGTACATGTGTGTATACATATATGCATACATATGTACATGCTGTCAAAAGTGAGACAAAGTCAAGCACAGATGGAGAAAGAAAAGATCATTACATTGGAAGAAGCCATGTATCAATAGAATTATTCCATTAATCACAGCCATTTTGAAAACTGAGAATTATAGAATCACAGTGAAAGGCCAATCTGGACAGAAAAGTTTTGATATTATTTTTCTTTTACTATCTATTGGACTAATTTGTAGATTTAAAGACATAGTTATTACAAATGAGGGAAAGCATGAAACCTATATTATTTAAGCCCATACCTGGTTACAGTACCAGCTGTACCAAGCAATATGCTAAAACTGTGAGGATCACCTTAGCAGGCTAGCTTCAGCAGCAACCTCCATGATACTCCATGGAGGTGAAGCAAGATATAGTGAAGCATGCCTATAATCCCAGAGATGATAGGAAGCCAAAAGTAGGCAGATGACTGCATGAGAGTGAATTGTGGCACCATTTTTAAAATATCCAGGAATACTACTAGGAAATGAGTAATGGAATGGGGTGGGGGATGGTTCATACACGGGAGATGTGTAGACAAATGGATGGGGAAAGAGTGAAGAATGTGGTCAAGAAAAATAAGAAAAATATGGGAAGGGGTGGTTGAAAGAGGGGTGAAAATGTTGAAAGGATGACAGGTGAAGATGCTTTGTTAAACTGAAAAATAAATCAATACATATCCTAAAATCTTAAGTGAGGAATAGAGTAGGTTGAAAATAAAGAGTAGTTGTAATACTCTCCTAAGAATATCCTCTTTTGATCTCAGTGTGTGAATGCTTAGAATGCTGTTTAGTCATGTCCCAGTGTAATTTTTTTTTCTTTTACTATCCATTGGATTAACTTGTGGATTTAAAGATATATTTAGTTATGACAAATGAGAGAAAACATGCAACCTACATTTCTTTGGATCTAGCTTACTTTGTTTAATATAATTTTTCCAGGTCATACCATTTCCTTAAGGATAGGGCAATACCATTCTTTCTGATGGAAGCATAGAACTCCATTGTGAATATATATACCACATTGTCTTGATCCATTCATCCACTGAGGGGCATCTGGGTTTGATCCATATCTTAGCTATGATAAATACTGCTGCAATAAACATAATTGTGCTGATGGCTTTAGTGTGGGCTGGTTTATGGTCATTTAGGTAAATGCCCAGAAGTGGGACTGGTGGGTTATAAAGAAGCTCTATGTTTAGTCTTTTGAGGAACCTCCAAACCACTTACAAGAGTAGTTGAACAAGATTACCACCAACAGTGTAGTTATGTTCCTTTTTGACCACTTTCTTGCCAGCATCTGTTATTATTAGTTTTTTTAAATATATAATGACCATTCTAACTGAGGTGAGGTAGAATCTCAATGGCTCAATACTCATATGGATATGACCATATAAAATGGTGTTTATAGAAATGAACTCCAAGAAACCAAAACAGTAGGATTTTTATCATTCTGTTTGAAATCCTTCTTTCCCTCCCTTCTCTCCCTCCCCTCCTTCCTTCCCTCCCCTCCTTCCTTCCCTCCTATCCTTCCTTCCTTCCTTCCTTCCTTCCTTCCTTCCTTCCTTCCTTCCTTCCTTCCTTGCTTCCTTCCTACCTTCCTTCCTTCCTCCCCTCCTTCCTTCCCTCCTATCCTTCCTTCCTTCCTTCCTTCCTTCCTTCCTTCCTTCCTTCCTTCCTTCCTTCCTTCCTTCCTTCCTACCTTCCTTCCTTCTTTCCTTCTTGCTTCCTTGCTTCCTTGCTCCCTCTCCACTTTGGCATATTCCTTTTTCTAACTGTTTTTGATTTCTGCAATCTTTGTCTTGGGTAAAGTTTATCTGTTTTGGGGAGGAAAATTGGAAATGGTGGGACAAAGAGTGATCCAATTCAACAGTGATACTAACTGGACACTATGTTGAAAATGAAGTTTACAACTTGGGGTGTCAAGGGAATCAGCAGTGGAAAGAGTGGAAGAAAATGCAGGAGGGGGTAACACTGTTCAAAAAGAAACGTACTCATTACCTGACTTATGTAACTGAAACCCCTCTGTACATCACCTTTAAAATAAAATTTAAACTTAAAAAGGAAAATAAAACAATAAAAAATAGAAATTGAAAAGTAAGAATGTTGAAAGTAGTGACATGAGCTGCTTTGTTCAGTGCCAGCTATTCTGTATAGCTACTTAAATAAAATAAAAATATTAAAAAAATCTATGAAAAACAGAGCTGAAGAAATGGCTCAACAATGTCTTGCAGCCTAGGTACCCACAAGCCCCTGAGTTCAAAACCTTTGCAATACGATAAAAAAACTAAGGAAAAATAAACTTAATTTAATCACTAATAAAGTTTGTTTTGACAAATATTTTCTTTATATTATATTTAGATGAATGTTTGAGGGATCTATTAGGCTGACAGAAAGTGCAGATATTTTGAAATAAATATACTTCAATTTATTGATTCTACTATTTATACTGCACTTATATTTAGTTAAAATATTGAATTCGAAATCGTTTTAAAATAAAGACAAAAATCTCTCTAGAGTAGTTTATGGCATGGATTGATTAATTGGCTTATCACAAGTAAAAGGAGATATCTTTGGTGGAAATTTCATTTTAATTTCTGATATAAAACATGTTTTAAATTATGTTTCTAAGGTGAAAATGTTGAGAAGAAAATGTGAAAGAAAAATATCTCAAAGAGGAAATGATTAAAATCCGTATTTAAGAAATCCTAAGGATTTATTGTAATAATAAATACTACAGGGAATTCTCTTTATTACTCCATTCTCTTTCCATATTATGTATAGTATAATTTTTGATATTAAAAAGGAAACAAGATTGTAATTTTACGATATGTAAATACATATAATATGCGTATGTGTGTATATATACATGTATATATGACATCAATTAAATATTCCTATAAACTCATGTGGCAGTGAAAAATCAAATGCCCTCTATATTATAGAGTTGAGAAAAGAGATGACATAATACAGTCCTGGGCAAGATTCCAAGAAGGCAATTTATGGCCTTTTGGATATAAACATTATAAGTGCTACAGCATTGTATATTCCAACTCTAATTACTAACTGTAAAATATGTAGAGATGTTATGAAATATGTTGTATCATAACACTAAGGCTCAAAAATAAATGTATAGAATACTGATACCTCCAAAGTTTCTACTACGGATTTTTTTGAATTAACTTTAAATAGTTGTACAAAGTAAGTGTCATTTAACAAAGAAGGTCCTGAATAAAATGGATTTTGATGAATGTCACCTCTTTCTACAGTCTCTCCCATCCTTGCCAACCTAGCCCTTCCCTCACTTTACTAGTTTTGTGGGATATACACTGCAAAATCTTATCAATAAATATAAGTGATAAGATTGTTAAGTAATACATTAAGCTATTATATATAAACAGTGCCATTTTCACATTTTTAAATAAGTTATCGTATGGACATTTCTTCTGTAGGTTTGATCCAAAATAGTATTATAAAATAAACAAAAATATATTGTCTTTAATAATTTTGAAAATGTTTCTGTTCACAAAAAATAATTGAGTGTATCATGTATTCTAAGATTGTAATTACAATCTCTAAGAGAAAAAATACACAATTTCAATAAAGGCAAAATAATATATCTAAGAAGGAAGATGAATCATCAACCGATCTATAAAAATGCTTGATACAACTTATCGTCATATGCACCCAATTCAAAACCACAATGAGATATCGAGTTACTATTAATGTAAACACCAAAAATATCATGTTTACCTTAGCAAATGTCAATTTTATCGTGCTCAATACCATATTTTGAAGTCTATTTTTATGAATACTTATATCTAATGAGTATCTGTATATATTTATACATATATGTATACTTTTATACATATAAACATATATATATATATATACTTAGTTAAAACTCACTAAGTAGTATATTACTTCAAATAGTTATAATTCCACATAGTTAAGTTCACAGAAACCACTCTACATATTTCAGAAATAAAATATTTCATCATCAACTACGTATATTTACTATAGATCTGATATATATTGTTCATCTCTAAGTATAATCATATAGCTCTCGACTTAACTTTTCCTGTCTCCTCTCCTCTCTATGCCTAAGGAAAACAATCGTGGTACTATTTACTTCTGCAAGATAAAATATTTTGCTGTAATCTATGAGTAGAACAGGAGGTATTTTCCTTTTGGTGTCTGGCCTCTTTCATTGAACATAATGTTCTACAGGTAAATCCACATAAGCACACATGGGATTTCATCTTTCTGTTATACTTGAAATGCACCCATTTGTGTAGTGTGCCATGCTTTCCCTGATCCATACACCTGTCAGTGGGCACACCAAATGATTAAGATCTTGGCTAGTGTGAAAGTACTGCAATGAACACAGGGGCAAAGATGTCTCTTCACCATGCTCCCCCCAGTTTCCCTGGCATAAACACCCAGTTGTTCCTAATATTTAGTGTTAAAAGTTGTAGATCTACAGAACTACATATATATAGATATGTGTGTGTGTTACATTATATATGCATCAATATAGTTGTGACTTTGAGACTGATTTTGAGGAGTGGAAGAGAAGTTAAGAGAATGATGAAAGGTGAGTAGTAGTAAAACACTTTTTGTCCATCTATAAACATAGTATAATAAAATTCACTGAAATTTGATAAATAATTGAAGGGTAAGGAATCCTCCTTACAGAAAGGAGCAATAGATGGAGGTTAGTCTGAGTAAATTATAATGCATGTATGTGTGCAATGCCCCATTGAACACTCTTAATATAGTTAATATTTAATCAATGGAATAACAGGATCTTCTGGAGGGGGGTACCACTAGGAAAGAGGGAGGATAAACAGATAGAATTAGTGAGGGTAAATATTGTTGAAGAACTTTTCATTCATGTATTACCTCAGAAAAATATAATTTATTACAATGTATTACAGATGATGAGTGAAGAAGAGTCTTATAGAGAGTGGATTTTCTTAGGGAACATTGTACCCTTGGTGTAACCCTTGTACACAAAGATGCACTAATAAAATGCAGTTAAAAAATAAGGAAGCTTTTCCATGCTAGGACATTTAGAGAATGATGCTTTCTATTCAGTGGAAGTAAGTGAATTTCAAAGTGAACTCAATTTGGCCTGCATCTGGCTCAGATCCATTTGAGTAGAAGGACCAGGAGATTGACTCTGATTAATGTCATATCTACAGAATTCTGTTCAATTGATAAAAGTTTAACCAGTAAGCAGATCTCTGTTCTCAAAAGTGACTATTATAAGACTTATTCATGTCTAGGGTCAACATAGAGATGTCGGTTTCATGATATTTGTGAATTAAATCAATCTCAGAAAGAAAACCCAGCTATTGGATTTGACAAGGTCTCAGTAGGTTAAAAAGATGAGTCAAAACTGACAAGTTGAGATATAATAGGGGGAAGTATGGAGTCCCGAACTGAGGTTAGAAAAATCAATAGCGAAATACAACATGGGAAGCCTCACCTGGGACAAGTGGAACTATCTAAGTAGAACAAACTGCCATATGATTTTTTAAAGTAACAAAATCCAATAAAATTATATTATTTAATACAGTGTCCCCTAAGAGCAGTCATTTTTTTTTCATTTTACTATGCACTGATCTAAGATATTTAGATGTATGTACAAAATCTAAAAACATATTGGCTCGCTGTCATCTTGCACAAAAGGCAAGTGACCAGTATAAATTAGAATTTAGCTCTAATAACAACTGTTAATTCATTATTTTGGGGGGAAGAGGAACTCATCATTTGTTTCACTTAATTCCACCAGTCTTTATAACAGTATGATCAGGTAGACAATGTGGTTATCACCTGTGGAGCATGAGCCAGCTCCCTCCACCACACGGAGGTGTCTGATGACCACTAAATCTGGCCTCTCATCTATAACTGACCAGCTATAAAAATTTTTGTTATTATACTCTATAAAATGTTTATACCATGCATGCACAACTATGTTACTATCATTAAGGAAGCAAATGGAAGACTAATATTTTGAGAATAAGAACAGTTCAACCATTGGAGTTGAAATAAAGAAATGATGAACTTAAGTATGAAAAATAAATGACAGTATTTGATACTGTTTAAAAAGTAAACAAACTATCCATTTCTTTCTTATGGTATTATTTGAAATTTATTAACAATAGCATGCAGTCCATACTTCGCCTTGTATTAAAGATTCTTACACCTTATAAAAATAAATTTATGCTTTCCATATAGTTGTCTCCCATAGAAAACTTAATCATAGAAAAATATAAGACAATATATAATGGTGTGCTGCTTTGAATACAATTATACAATTCATATATTGTATGAATTATAAATTCATATATTATGTAGAAGGTTAATATCCTATATGAGAAAATTTGCCTAATTTATTAACATTTTCAATTAATTTGAATAATGAATGCCACTGATCTTTAAAAATGGTATTATAATTTGTTATATTATAATTTGATGTAACTGGACATTTTTCATTTTCCTAGTACATAACTAAACTTCACAGTAGGTTATTCATAATACTAATCACAGAAAGTGTATTTCTCAAGAGTTTCATTAAAACTAATTGTCTTATGGCCTCACGGTAGGCAATAAATGTTACCTAATTTCTTTCTTTCCTTCATCTCATGTTTCCTCTTTTCTCATCATTTTAATTTCTTCAACTCATCACAGATTCTCACTACCTCCTTCTTTTATTTCTACCAAGGGGTGACTTGTTTCTTTCTATCATAATGTAAAAAACTTCCCCAATTTCTCAACGAGTGTTTGAATTAAACAAAAACAGGAAATCTAAGTTTCATAATAACTTGAATATTATGAGTTTTGTGAATTTTTTTAAGTTAAAAAATCTTCATGCGAAGTGGCACTATGGCTCAAGTGGTAGAGTGCTAGCCTTGAGCTGAAGAGTTGAAGTTCAGTGCTCAGGCCCACAATTCAAGCCCCATGATGGACCAAAAAAAAGCTTCATGACTTTTCCAACTAAAGACTCATTTGACAACTATTTAGAAAGCAACAAAAAATGGGCATCTTTACTGAATTAATATGAAATTAAAATTACATTAAGAACTGTTAGAAAATGATCTATTTTTTCTTCAAAGAAGATAACATACTAAATGATATTTTGGTACTTGTATGAAATTTATTGTTTAAAAGACTATTTAAAAATTCTGATTTGTATTAAAAGGGTATTTTCACATTCTTAATCTAGTTAAACATAATATCAAATTAAGTAAATAGTTGGACACTGACAGTTTACAGCTGTAATCCTAGCTACATAGGATGGTGAGATCTGGGTATTGTAGTTTGAAGCCAGCCAGGGCAAAAAAGTCCACAAGACTTTCATTTCCAATTAAGCACCAGAAAACCAGAGGCAGAGCAAAATACACAACCCTAGAGTTCATGGAGCAGAAGTGACAGAAAACACACACACACATACACACACACACACACACACACACACACACACACACACACAATCTATAATACATATATATATATAGAGAGAGAGAGAATGAGAGAGAGAGGTGGATATATCAGAGAGATATATCTAATTAAAATATAGTGAGATTTCCAGATTAAAATAATTGTGGTCAACATATATTTATCTTACCACTATACTGACAAATATCACAACTTTGTATCTACACATTAACATATTCTTTTTTCTTTCTTTCTTCCTTCCTTCCTTCCTTCCTTCCTTCCTTCTCCTTTCAATAAGATTTTTTTTTTTTGGTTGTGGGGCTTGAATGCTGGGCCTGAGCGCTGTCCTTGTGCTCTTCAGCTCAAGGAGAGCACTCTACCATTTGAACCACAGCACCTCTTCCGGTTTCCTGGTAGTTTATTGGAGATAAGAGTCTCATTAACTTTCCTGCCCGGGCTGGCTTTGAACCACTATCCCCAGATCTCACCCTCCTGAGTAGCTAGGATTACAGGTGTGAGCCACCAGTGCCTGGCAATAAGATTTTTTATACATACCTAGAGGAAGAACTTTTAAAAACAAGTTATAACCAAATATTTTTAAGCTTAAAATATGTGCAATTTAAGGCATTGGAATTTAAAATAAGGTAAGTATATACAACTGTTTAAGTATCTAGAACATGTGTGGACTAAAATACTTAATGTAAATGTAATTTGATTTTTTTTTTTTGGTCTGGGTCTTGAACTCTGGGCCTGAGTGCTGTCCCTCAGCTTTTCAGGTCAAAGCTAGCGCTCTACCACTTGAGCCACAGCACCACTTCTGGTTTTCTAGTGGTATATTGTAGATAAGAGTTTCACGGACTTTCCTGCCCAGGCTGGCTTTGAACTAAGATCCTCAGATCTAGCCTTCTGAGTAGCTAGGATTATAGGTGTGAGTCACTGGACCCTAGCTGTAATTTGATTTTTTATATGTTAAAATCCATGACACTTAATTTCACAAATAATTCACTTTTTAATTTTTTTGGAAATTAGAATAAACATATTGACTACTAAATACGTTGTAAGTTCATGCTAAATGTCAAATAAATGTGCTCCAAATTTTGTAGTCCTGGTTATCTCATTCCAATGATATCATTTAGTGACTTAGGAAAATATAAAGAAATACCATGTTAACATATACAATTAGAAGTTTCAATTTGAATAATTTAAATCATAAGATCTTATGAGATCTTAAAAGTTTATTTTTCTACACTTACCAGCTAAAGCAAGAAAATATTCCTGAAATCTTGTTCCTATACGGTTAGTGGCTGTGCAATTATATCGTCCAAAGTCATTGTCAGATGTGGGTGCAATCTAAAATAAACATTGAAATGAAAGTCAAAATTCAAGTAAGATCCACAAGGCTCTAGTATGCCTGCCATTTGCAAATAGGATCAATTATTCCCCAAACAATTACTAGCCATAATCTTTTTATCAGATAAGAATTTGAAACAATACACAAAACTTCACTTCTATATTACTAGGTTTATCTATTATTACATTAACTAAATCAATGTAACAGTTTGTTATATCTGAAATAGAAAAAAAGTTTTACCTACCTGTACGTAAATTACAGAAATAGTATATATATATATATATATATATATACATTTATTTAGATAATTAATTAGGAGATGATAATAAATTGATAACTAGATAGACAGATAGCTGATTGATAGAAACATTCATTGATAGATACATAGATAATTGGCAGATTGAAACAATAGAGGTATAAAATTGAAAACAGGAAGCTAATAAAAAAAAGTAATGTTAACATATTTTCCAATTTAAGCTTTAGATCAGCCAGAAGTTCAGTAAAAGCACAAACAAGTGTAATTTATCTCTAGTTTTTGAGTTTATGAATATAAAATATTAATGAAAATGAGCAGTAATTCTAAAGTCTTTCCAACAAGCCATTTTGCAAGACAATATTGCATTTGTGCAAATCTACACAGACAGAAATATGTTCTTCATATGTATTAATGTTATCATACCTACATTTTCACTCAACTCCTATCATTCTCTTTTAGTGTAGGTGGAAAATAGCTGACCTCAATCTTTACACATTTGAAATCCATAATTAAGTTAACCTTTGAAGATTGTATTGGCGAACAGTGGGAACAATCCTGTGATTCTAATGTGCAGAAATTCTGAAGTACCAATTCAGAAGAGAGATTTGATGACAGTAATAGATATAATTCTCAATTCTGGTAACCATTTTTAAGAGAGTTGCTGCTAATTCAATGCTATCCCAAAAGAGAGAAAAATGATTTTGTGGTAATAGGAGGCTATTAGCTAAGAGAGTAATTTTGAGGTCGATTGAAAATGGTAATTCTGACCCAGTAGAAAAAGGTGTCATTCGTTTTCTAGTCAGCTGTCCATCCAGCAATTGGACATAAGATTAAAATTTGCAATGATTACAGCTCTTAAATATGTACATCTGAGTGAATCAAAAATTCATTTTTTGCATTCATCTTTTAATAAGCAGGATTAATTTATGTCTTAAGATAATTTTACTAATGAGGAAGATCTAACTACGTAAATAGAAAGATATTTATAAACATAAATATATTATAAATTTATAAATATAAATATATTTGTCAAAGTTTGTAGAGTTCATAAGCTTTATAGACCATGATAATGACAATTCACCTTCTGAAGGTTAAAATGTGATTGTGACTTTAGCTAAGTATCACTATCCCACAATACTGTGAAGTTTATGAAATCATTTAATCTCAAGAAAGAAATTTTAAATAAGAAATATAATATGAACATAATTATATTATAAATATGAATATATTTATATAAAATTCATAAATATGTTATGTGTGTGTATTTTGTCTTTTTGTTCATAGTTGGATATAAGAGTCTCTTAAACTTTTTTTGTCCAGGCTGGAACCACAATTCTCAGATATTAACTTCGTGAATAGCTACTATTACAGGAGTGAACCATCTGCACCCAGCTACAATATTTGTTATTATTCTTAGGCCTATGAAAAAGGTTTCAAATATTCCAACACAAAGAATATGTTTATTGAATCGATCAATTCAGGGGCATTATTGCCAAAAGCAACAATGATTCTGCAAAATTTCTAGTTTACGCATTTTCATTGGAATCATTTTCAAAAGACTGAGCTCTTTTATTCCCACTGGAAGTTCAGGTATCAACTGGAGAAGCTTTACAAGTATCTCTTAAATAAGTGATTTATTTATTTTGTCATTTGGTTAACAAAGAAAATAATCCATCATATTACAGTTTAAGATTATTCTCAAAAGTTCTATTCTTAATGTAGGAAAATATATGCCCTGAAGCTTATTGGATATTTTCTGAGGAACACTATTAAAACACACAAACAAGCAAAGAAGCAATTAGAGTCCAAAATGACTTCACATGCAAACTTAGCAAATAACATTAAAACTTATCAAAATCTAAAAACACACATTGACCTCAACACAGTGATTACTGGTGACTTTTAACTTGCCACTGTCACCTCTGCACATATCTATATGGCAAAAACTCATGGCAAGAACTACAGAGCTAAATAATTGCACAGACAAACTGAACTTAACAGACACCTAAAGAATATTCCACCCAACAACTACAGAATTTACATTTTTCTTGGTGGCACATGGATCATTCTCTAAAATAGAGCATATTTTAGAGCACAAAGCAAGTTTATGAAAATTCAGAAATATTGAAAATATTTCATTCATTCTTTTAGACCACAATGGAATAAAATTAGAGCTCAATGCCAAAAGTCACAATAGATCCTACAACATATGGAGACTCAACAAGAAGTTGTTGAAACACCAATGGGTCATGGAAGAGATCAAATAGGAAATTCAAACATTTATGATATTTAACAAAAAGGAGCAAACAAAATACCAGCTCCTCTGGGACACAGCAAATGCAGTTCTCAGAGGAAAATTTATAGTTCTGAGTGCCTAAGTCAACAAATTGGAGAAAACTCAAACCAACAATTTAATAATGTATCTTAAGCTCCTTGAAAAAGAACAACAAGATAAACCCCAATCCAGTAGATGGAAAGAAATAATTAAAATTAAATCAGAGTTAAATGAATTAGAGACCAAAAATAAAACCATAAATCGTGGTGGGAGGGACGAGGGAGGGCAGCGAGGAGGGAGGGAGGCGTTGGGGAGATGGGGAGGGAAAGGATGGTAGGGGAAAAACAAAGGAGGAAGTAACAATACTGGATAGGAAATGTACTCATTACCTTATTCATGTAACTGTAACCCCTCTTTACACTATTTTTACAATATAAAACTTATTAAGAAAAGCACATAGAAAGAATCAATAATACAAAGATTTTGTTCTCTGAAAAAAATCCACAAAATTGACAGACTATTAGCAAAGCTCACGAAAAAAAGAGGAAAACACATCCAAATAAACAAAATCAGAGACAAAAATGGAAGCATCACCACGGAAACTAGCAAGATTCAGAACATCCTAAGAAATACTTTGTGGACATGTATACTAATGAATTCAAGATCTGGAAGAAATGGAAGAATTTCTAGCAAAAATTGTTATTCTTGAACTAAATCAAAAAAATTTAAACCAACTAAATAGACCTATACCAAAAACAGAATAGAAATAGCAATAAGAAACCTCCCATCCAAGAAAAGGCCAGGTCCACATGGATTCATATCCAAATTCTATAAGGCCTTCAGAGGAGAACTAAGTCCTCCTCAAACTCTTCAATGAAATCAGAAATGAAATCTCTCTACCAAACTCATTCTATGAAGCCACCATAACCCTCATCCCCAAACCAGACACTCATCAAAGAAAGAGAACTACAGACCCATTTATCTGTTGAGACTTCATGTAAAACTTCTTAATAAAATTCTGACCAATCGACTTCAACAACTAATCAAAAATATTATACACAAATGATCAAACAGGATTCATTCCAGGAATGCAAAGTTGGTTCAATATAAACAAATCAACTAATGTAATTCAACATATCAACAGAAGCAAGGACAAGAACAAGGACAAGAACCACATGATTATCTCCATAGATGCAGAAAAAGCATTTGACAAAATGAAACATCCTTTATGATAAAAGCTCTGTAGAAACTAGGAATCCATTGAGTCTCCCTCAATATAATCAAGGCCATATATGATAAGCCTACATCCACTATAATACTCAATGGTGAAAACTTAAAGCCATTTCCTCTAAAATCAGGAATGAGACAAGGCTCTCTGCTCTCTCTACTCCTCTTCAATATAATATTAAAATCATTAGCGAGAGAAATAAGGCAAGAGGCAAACATAAAGGGGATCCAAATAAGGATGTAAGTGAAACTATTCCTCTTTGCAGATGACATGATCCTCTATCTAGAAAATCCCATGGACTTCACTCCCAAGTTAGTTGAGCTGATCCAAAACTTGGGCAAACTAGCAGAGTATAAAATAAATCCACCAAAATTCTATAGCTTTTCTCTATGCTAACAATGAGAAAAGAGAGGCTGAAATTAGGAAAGCAACTCTATTTTAAATACCCTCAAAGAAAAAACAAAACAAGAAAAAAAACTAGGATCACCTTACCACTGAAGTGAAGGACCTCTACAATGAAAACTTCAAAAATCTGAAAAAGGAAATTAAAGTACACCTCAGGAAGTTGAATAACCTTCCATATTCCTGGCTTGGGAGGTTAAACATTGTGAAAATGGCAATATTGCCAAAGGCGATATACAAATTCAATGCAATACGCATCAGGATCCCAACTTCTTTCTTCAATGAAATAGAAGAAGCAATCCAAAAATTCATATGGAACAACAAAAGACCCCAGATAGCAAAAACAATCCTTGGCAGGTAGAACAATGCTGGAGGAATTTCAATATCTAACCTCAAACTCTATTACAAAGCCATAGTACTCAAAACAGCTTGATACTGGCACAAGAACAGTCCTGAGGACCAATGGTATAGATTTGAAGACCCAGAAATGAACCCGCAGACCTGCGGCCACCTAATCTTTGACATGGAGCCCCATGCCTGCCCCCAAAATAGGATGGAAGAAAGACAGCCTTTTCAATAAATGGTGTTGGCAGAATTGGCTAAACATGCATAGAAAACTAAAATTAAATCCCTATATATCACTCTGGACCAGAATCAACTCCAAATGGATCAAAGACCTCGAAGTAAAAGCAGATACCTTGAAAATATTACAAGAAGAAATATGAGAAACACTAGGGATCCTTGGCACAGGCCAAAACTTTCTTTAAAAAGATCCAGAAACACAACAAACCAGAGAAAGGCTGGATAAATGGGATTGAATTAAAGAGTAGAGCTTCCACACAGCAAAGGACATAATTAACAAAATATATCAAAACCCTGCAGACTGGGAGAAGATCTTCACCACCCATACAACAGACAAGGGTCTCATATAAAAAATATACCAACAGCTCAAGTAATTAAATCCCCCCCAAACAAACACCCAAAGAAACCACAACCCCATTAACAAGTGGGCTAAAGACCTTAAAAGAGACCTGTCTGAAAAGGAAATACAAATGGCCAAGAGTCAACAAGTCTGGCTCTAAAAGAAATGCCAATCAAAACAACATCTCCACCTTACACCAATTAGAATGTCCATAATCAAGAAATCTAACAGCAATGTTGGTGGAGAGGTGACCAAAGGGAAACACTACTACACTGTTGGTGGAAATGAAAAGTTGTTCAACCACTGTGTAAAGGTTCCTCAAAAGACTACACATAGAGCTACTATGACCCAGCAATCCCACTTCTGGGGATCTACCCAAATGATCATAAACAAGGCCACACTAAAGGCACCAGTACAAAAATGTTCATCACAGCATTATTTACCATAGCTAAGATATGAAACCAACCCAAATGCACCTCAGTAGATTAATGGATCAAGAATATCATTCTAAGCTTCCATCAGAAAGAATAGCATTGTTCCATTTATGAGGAAATAGAAATACCTGGAAACAATTATATTAAGTGAAGTAAGCCAGACCCAAAGAAAATCAGGTCACATGATCTCCCTCATTTGTAAGAATCAGTACATGTATAGGATATTCTTAACAGGGGAGGTCAATAACCCAAGTGCTTATTGCAAAGGACTATATATAAGGAAACATATTAACATGAACTATCACTTATGGAAACAAGAGGTTCTCATTGGAGCCTGCATATAGTTCGTTCTTTTTTTCACTATTTTTGTTTTTGTCTGTCTTTATTTCTCTTAGGTTTTTTGTACCTTGTGTTTTGCATAATAGAAAATGCAATATGTGAAAGGGAAAGGGAATCACAGAAAGAGCAGAACAATGGATGAACCTGGGCAACATTGACACTTACTTGACACTATGTAGAATATGAACATTCCTACTTGGGGGAGGTGGGGTAGGGAGGGACAAGTGGGAGATCAAGAGGGATGGAGTAACAATGATTAAAAATAAATGTACTTCTTGCCTTACCTATGGAACTGTAACCCCCAGCTCATCGCCTTTTCAATAAAAAAAAAACATGTAGCCCAAGGTATATTGTATTTAAATGAATGATATTTAAATGAATAAAATTATATTTAAATGAATGCATTTAAATCCATACCAAAATATAAATCATTGTTAAACTTATCCAGGAAATATTTTAAAAATGACTCATATCACATTTATTTTTCTATTTAAAATACAATTAACATAAATTTAAGTTCATTGGTGATGCCAGGCTTTCACACAATATATTAGATTGATAATTTAATTTTGAGTCTCCAAACATAAACTGAGAGCACAGTGTTAATGAAGAGGTTAACCTGCTTACCTAAGCTTGCCTGAAACCTGAATTACCATTCTCTGTATCCTCTGGTGAGAAAACTTTGCATTTCAAAGTCAGTATTTTGTATTTAGGACAAAGAGCAACAACACAGATGATATAAATGCAAAATTAGAATCTTTTACCATGTATGTTTCCTCATATATTAAAATATGTGTATGTTAAGACAAAACCAAAACCTAACATAGTTTTATAACTACTACAGATGGATTTTATTGCCATTAACGGACAGAATTTATGATTAATTAAAGGAAGACTTTAAAAATCCATTTCTAGCCATGAGGTAATCCTAACATACATAAACAGTGTACACGGAAGGGTCAAGATTTCAGGCCAGTCCAGGAAATCTTCCCAAAGCATTATCAGAAAAAAAAATAAGCCAGACATTATGACTCACACTTCAGAAGGGGGACTTAGGAAAATGCAGGAATAAAACAGATTTGGGCAAAAGCTCAAGATCATATGTAAAAAAAAATAAAAGTAAAGAAAAAGAAAATAAGGGCTAGAGATATGGTTAATTGTATAGCAGTGACCTAGTAAGCAAGGTTCTGGAGACAATCACCAGTAAGACATACACACACACACACACACACACACACACACACACACACTTTCATACACATACACAAAATAATTTCATGAATTATATAAATATATTTGTGTCTTATTTTCTATTTCTGCTTTACTATATTTTATTTAATATCAACAATAATGTTACTATTAAAATAGTTATTTCACAAAAATTACGTGTATTTGCAGGCAACTGCACATTCTGCTAATTAAAAGTTAGCAGTGCTCCATGTTCTTTTTATTATTACTTTTCATATTCTATTTTCAAGTTATGTTAATTATATATCTTTACATTTATTCAAGATATATACTTAACTTATGAAAAAGTGAATGTCAATAAAATTGTTCAAAATCAATTCCTTAACAAATCAGAGCATTTGGATATTTGTAAAGTAATACAAAAATATGTTTCACTTTCAAGTGGCAAAATGTTATTTATGCAGAGATTTAGGATGAGATTTTTCTACACATGAAATATTTAAGCACTGCATTTATGTCAACAACATCGTATTATGGGGTGTCCCATAATCTCAAAAGTGTAAAGAATAAGACAAGTAGAAAATACATGGCAATATGTCTTTAAGTCTGAACTGAAATCAATCAATGTGAACTTGGAAGACATAAAGATGCCTTATCTCCAAATAGACTGAATTGGAAGGTTGACTAATCAACGGAGGGACAGCAACTTCATATGGATATGTACCTTTTGTTTCTTCATTCAATAAATCTTCGGAAAGAAGCACACTTCATTTTTTCAAAGCTAGCCAACAACTAATCACCAGAGACTGGTAGTTGGGGCAATGATTAATTTGAATAAACAAAATATTCATATTGACATTTTGTCTTCCACTAGTTTCTGCACTCCCTCATGAGTCTGTTAGTAAGATCCCTAGAATACACTATCTCAGTCCAGATATCTGTTTGTCCTCCTTCCTTTGCAAACATTGTTCTTCCTCTAAAATATATGCAAAACATCACTCTTCAGACATTTTAAAATTTTAAACTGCTTTCTGTTGTGAAGACTCTTATATACCTAAAATTGGCAATTCTTTTATGTTTACTTCTGGCTTATTGTCTTTTGGTTTCTCAGATACTTCCAAGGAATCCAGAAGAGGGCAAAAGGAGAAGCAGTAAGCCATTCTTCTCCTCTACTCCTCTAGGCTGCATTACATTGTATCCTATCAGCTTCAGATACTGAAACCCATATATAATCCTCTATGGTTTGATTTGTACACAGTTATCATAAGCTTGAGGCTCATGATTCAGGAGGACTGACACCTTTATAGGAGGAGAAAGAAGCAGTCAGCAGAGGCCTATTTCTATGTATGTTCAGAGACTGAACATGTGAGAATCCAGGAGGAAAATGTAGAAGTAACAGGACAGAGTCCTGTTATATCAATTCTCCTGGCACATTTGCATTGGAATCGAACTTTGTTGACAGAAATTTCTGTTTTGTAAGTTATCTTAGACTGCCATGTTATATTTTGGCAGGAAGAGACTAATCCATTATTCAAAATTTAATTTAAATGTAACTTGAATTTTAAAGTACAATTTCATTGTTATTATGAGAGTGTTGTACAGAAGGCATAAGTCAGGTAATCAGTACCTTTCTTTTTTGGACAATGTCACCCCTTCCTTAACTTTCTCCCATTAGATTTAGTTTTTAAACTCAGATTAAAATTAAACATAAAATTTACATTGTCTCTCCAAATAGTCTTTGCAAAATTTACATCAATTGATGAATTGTTAATTCACCAATTGATTTACGTTAAAACATTGATTTAAAAAATTGATTTACATTAAAACAATTGTCTAGAAATGTAGTAATTGCTCATCACATTTTCAAATAATTGGAGAGGTTATATTGAATAATTCTACTAAGCAATCAGTTTGCTTAGTAGAGATACTGAGCCAAATGAAAATGTTACTACAGTATTATTAAAAATTGAAGCTACTTTCATTTGATGCAAACTGCATGAATAAAGAATATGTAGCAGTTGTTCTAAAATATCATCAATTACAAGAATGAATCATTGCTATAAACTTGTATAAAATTTGATAACTGGTAACATAATCTATAATCAAGAACTAAGAGTGCATTATATTAAAACAGTCTGATAAAAGCCAATTTGGGCAGCATAAAACTAATTTACATAATCTTTAAATATAAAAAGCAATTAACAACAAGCAAGATTTATTAAGGAACCTAAACTAGAATAATAAATTTGAATAATCAAATATAAAAATAAGAACATATATAACAATAAAATAATGAAATGTAAAATAAAATTAAAAAATAAAATATTAAAATATCAGATTATTAATTTCTACATTTCCTGATGTGTTTCTTTCTAAAAGTAAACTTGGGAAACATTATGGTCTTTGCTACAAATCATATTTCTGTTTTAATAAATGATGTGCCATCCAGAATAAACAGATCATGATGCAAATACATGAATCTTACTTGTAAATTAATAGTTTAATATAGTGCATATTAAATACACTCTAAAATTAGTTAACACTTACCTCTAATATCATTTTTCTTCCTGCACTATATGTCTTTAAATTGGTGGTATTTTTAGCAGGTAAGACTAATTTTTCTCTTCGCCAATGGATTGATGCCGGTGGATTTGATTTCACATCACAACTTATGTTGATTGGATTTCCTTCCCAAGAGAAATAAATGGTTTGATTTGAAACAAATTTAGGAGCATCTGGAAAACAATAGTACAAAATGTTTAATGATGTTTTAAGATAAGTCTTCACTTAGAATTTCATAATTTAGTACCAAAATATGTCAGAAAAATTCCAGGGTTAGGTGTTTAATAGGCAATAGCTGAAGTCAGGAAAATCTGAGTTTTGAGACTTGTATCATACAATTTAAATATTATTAGCATGAAAATAAGACCAATTGCTACAATAGGCAATAGTACTCAAAGTTAAATTTGCCCTTCCGTACTGAAAATATTATTGACTATTTTACTCAGTACATGAGTCGAAGTTGTTTCAGGAACAACCCACAGTGAAGTTTACCATAAAATGTAATAAAAAAAATCAGTGTTTCTTGTTAATCATGTTTTACTCAAAATAATCTTCCTATTGGGTATTTTGAAATCTATGTTAAAATAGGGATAAATAAGCATTGTATTTTTCTAATCATCCATTGCATTTCACATGAAAATAGCAATATTGTAATTGTTCAATAATTCTTAACTTAAAAATCGTTATGATACTCGATTGAATTTTACATTTTTACATAAGATTAATTCATAAAAGTGAAACAAAAAACATTTTATTGGAGGATTTAAAGAAGTTCCTGTATGAAACCTTCTAAATCAGTATGCTGACAGGTGCAAGTTGAAATTGTTTGAGGAACTTTCACTTATCTTTGGCTTGTTTCTCCCTACATAAATCAGAAACATGGACTCCTTATAGAAGACTATTATCCATACACTAAGGCCAGAAAATAAAACTAATCACCAGAAGTTGCTATGTGGCTGCTTTTATAAACAAACATGGAAATAATCTTCTGTTCCAATGGTTTATCTAATTATCATTATGTTTCTGATATTTACTTGTATAAGCCAGTTACAGAGCATTATATCTGTAATTTCATGTTGCACATGAATTTACCATCTTATGTCAGTTAATCAATTTTCCTGCCATTAATTCACAAAGATCATTGTCCACTTCAAATTTATTTAAGAAAAATAGCTTGGGTAATTCCCTTCCAACTGTAACTTCTTGTAAAAAGATCATCATGTGCATATAAGTGAACAAAACTTATGCTTTAATCTTGTTAATAATATCTTTTATATTTGAGCTTCTAGGTCTGTTCAATGTTCCAACAAAGGAATTTAAAAAGGTAAAACAAATCCCTTCTCTCTTAAAATAAATGTTATTTTATTGTAAAATTCTTTTTTTATTTAATTGTCAAGTCAATATACCGAGGGGTTTCGGTTACATAAGTAAGGTTATGAGTACATTTCTTGTCAACCTCGTTACCCCTTCCCTCACAGTAACAAGACACCCAGGAAAAAATGAACTAGACAAATATCCAAATATTGTAATGTCATTGAATCTCAATGTTTGAATGCATAGACATTCAAAAGGATAATTTTATGTTTCTGTGTGAAAGCATAATTGTTAATTAAATTGCACATAAAATGTATATTTAACTTGGAACATGTTAATAATATTACTTAAAACATAAATTACTTATGTATGTATGAGAATACATACATATATAAACATATATATATATATATATATATGGATGGATACACACGCTTATATGGTTTGATGTTTATATCAAGTTAAACCACTGTATCCTTTCAATATTGAAAAGGAGAGTTCAGGGGTCTCTTATCCATTCTGATTTCATTAGAAATAAATTCAGTAGTAGAGTTTCTGGATCACATGGTATATTTCAAGTTTTCATTTTTGGTGGAACTTTCTTGCTGTTTTCCATAATGCTGCATTACTTTACATCCTCACCACCACTCTGTCAGTGCTCATTTTCCTATATATTCCTGCCATCACACTTGTTATCTGTCATAGTTATGGCCATTCTACTGAACACACATGACAACTCAATGTGATTTTGGTTTTCATATCTTTGACAATTGCTGATATTGAATGTGTTTCATACATCAACTAGTCATTTACATATAGTCTCTTAAAATCTATCTTTAGGTCTATTGTCCATTTTTTAAACCAGATTATTCAGGTATTATGTGCCATGAGTTTTGGTGGTCTTATTGTTAATCTGGAAAGCAAGTCTTTGCCAGATAAATAATTGGTAAATCTTTACTCCCATTCCACAGATTTTCTCTTCACTCTGTATTAGTTATTTTAATTTTGACGAGATGAAACTTTTTATTTAGATATAATTTCTTCCCTTTTTGCTTTTCATTCAAGTGCTTTTCTTGTCTCATCCAAAAATATTTGTAGATTCAGTGTCCTGAAACAACATATTCTCTGTATTTTTATAGTGATTTTTTAAAATTTGAATAGAAGTTAGAGAAGAGAGAGAGAGAGAGAGAGAGTTCAGTTTTATGAATCCAGTTTTATTTGTACCATTTGCTGAAAACAATTGCATTTCTTCAGTTATGTTCCTATCACATTTTATTTAGCTGTACATAGGTAGCTGATATCTAGGCACTTTATCCTGTTTAGTGACCTATAAATCTGTTTGTATGGCAGTAACATGCTGTTTTGAATAATATAGTGTCAAGGTATATTTTGAATTTAGGTAGTTCAATGCCTCTTCATTTTAAGATAATTTGGGGCTATTTGGAATTTATGGTGTTGTCATGGAAATTTAGGGACTTTTTAACTGTACAAAAGATTAGAGGATGGTACTGGTATTCTAATAAAGATTGTGTTGAATCTGGAAATCATTTTGCATAATTTGGACATTTTATCACATCAGAAACATGAGATTCCGTTCGGAGAATCTCTTTGCAAAGACAGCTCCATAGAAACTTCATCTACACAAAACAAAATAGCCATGGCATGTATCTGTGATTCCAGCTATGCTGGAGGTAGTAAGGAGAAGGATTGCTATCCAGGGAAAAAAGAGAAAACTTGTCCAGAGAAAGCATATGTATCTGTATCTCATTTTCAGAGAAAATACAGGGATGTTAAGAGAAGTAAATCTCACAGAGACAATGGTCCATGTTTTCTTCTCATTTGTAGATGTTAGATATAAATTACAAATATATGAAAATATAAAGGATTCATATGCATGTATAGATAAATACATAGTCTAAGGTATGGTATATACCGGGTGGATTTGAGTGGTATAACTTCATTAAATAACTAAGTTAGAGTTTTACAAAACGAATACTAAAAAGCTGAAATAAATTTTTAGATAGGTATTAAAAGGAAGGAATTGATAGAGAATAAATGGACAGAGAAAGGGAGGGTGAATATATTAATATTATATGTGTGCGTGCGTGTGTGTGTGTGTGTGTGTGTGTGTGTGAGAGAGAGAGAGAGAGAGAGAGAGAGAGAGAATAGAACCAGATAATCAGATAGCCAGAGTGAGGTTGACAGAGTTGGGGGAGATATATTGAAGGGGTGACGTTCATAAAGTATATTGTACCCACAAACTGCGATGTTGAATTCAAACCCCTTTACAGAACCACTTACAGAGAATTTTAGAACATTTCTTTAAAACAATAAATAAAATAAAAGGTTATGTTCAGATCTTTACCAGGTGATCTTTACCAGGAACACCAAGAAAAGTGGTAAGACTGCCTTCAGCCTCAGTATAAAGTCACACACATTTTAATGAAAAACCGTCCTTATATGTTGCTTTTCCTGACAAAGAGGTCTGAATGTGCAGCCGGCACTCCTCACTTCCTTTTGTTATTATATGAGATTTTTCTGACTCAATAACTTGCTTCAGGCAAACTTTTAACTTTCTCCAGTCCCTTCTGCTCAGGTTCAGAAATATTTCTTCTTGACAATTTCTTTTTGTAGTCAGTACCTATGACCTAAATAAAGTCCTACTTCTTGCTGAGTTCTGTGACCTGCACATGAAACTCGCCTGCATACCTCCAACTGAATGCTGAGAGCAGCACAAACACAATTTGTGGGAACTGGAACATAAAAAATCTTTGCCTTAAATTTCCATTACTCAAGAAAAATACTATCAAGTAATTCACTATACAAACATCCTATTTACCCACTGTATCATATTTTAAAAACATTATAGAGAAATAATTTAAAATCATTCAGCACTAAAATTTAGGATTTTAATATAGTATGCCCTGTCCTAATTTAAGCCCTATCTAGGACTGAAATCTCTCCTAAACATTATACAAGCCATTTACACTCTATAGTGAACTCTCTTCTTTTTTTCCCACCACACAATTTTTAAAATTATTATCTTTATGTAGTTGTACAATAGTATTTCAATTCAACAGTTCCAACTGAGTAACTTGATCATTATCACCCTTTCTGTCATTCTCCCCTTCTTTTCCATCCCATTCACAATCTCATTACATGGTTCCATATTCACATACATACATTTAATAGAATGACTGTATTCACCCAAAAATCAGATTTGTATTTTGTCATTAGATATTAAGAACCATATTTAGTATTGATATATTAATATGCAATTTGATGTTATATTAAAAAAACCTTTGCCTTTCTTTTCTCACCACTAAAATACAGTTTGGAAAAATACCTTTTCCATCTCTCAGTGTCCATTTCTAGCCTGTTGTCTATCCCTGGGCAATCTCTGTCTTTGATTCCCATACCCTCCATGGTGTATATAGATTTATCTGACTTGGAGAAGGGAAGGAAAATAGCAAAATGATGAGAGAAGTATAAAGTATAAATGACCCATTGCAACAATGATACTCGCAAGACACTAGGTCAGAAATGAATATAGTGGGGGGGATGGTGGAGAGAGGGAAGGGATAGTGGGAGAACAACAATGAGTGTGTAACAATGTTCAACAAGAAATATGACTTACTCATGTAACTGTAACCCCTCTGTAGAGCATCTTTACAATAAAATAAAAATTTAAAAATCTCATAAAGCAGTTTTCTTGCTTACTCTCCTACCAATATATACATTGAAATAAAATTACTAGAGTCACTATAATCTTATAAAGGATAATATTCCCAGCCTGGAGCTCTGGATTTTATGATGGCCTACACAGCCCAATACGGATTTGTCTCTGTGTTTTCTTTAA